GCTGAATCAGATGCCCTGGATTTCTTCATCCCACTTAACTACCTTTGTTTTCTTAATTCTGTTAATGAGCACTGGGAAAAATACTGCTTTACAACTGAGTAGCAATCAAATTCTGCACGTTATCAGATTGAGTTGTTTACTGCAGTAAAACTATTGAACAGAGTTCCCACAGGCCCTCTTGTACCACAGCTAGATAACCAAGAAATTTTTATCTACAAGGACAGTAAAACTGTAACTTCAGAGCGTGATTGTATGTGAAATTCCTGAGTTATCAGCAGTTAATATTAAGGCCCTGTCATTAGTAAACTGTTCGCACTCATTTTGGACCTGTCACTGTTTTGTAAAATGGACTTGCGTTGGGATGTCTTGCTTCTAGTTTTCATGGGAAAAGAATTCAGTTTCTTCTCTGAACTGCAGCAGGGACAATTATGCTGAAATGGACAACGTAATTCTTTATCTCCCAGTAGCCTCTCTACTCAAATCTGCTTATGACATTGTAGATTTTCTACTCAGAAGAGCAGGAAAGAAATAGTGATAGTAGTATTGTTAGCGATTAAATAGCTAGCAATAGAAGATGATCTATTTATTTAGTGATTAACACTTCCTTCCTTCTCTACTAGTAGTTTGGATCCCATTCTTCTGCATAGACATCTGTATGTTACATGCTCAGTTTTGAGGCCCAGCACTGGATCCCAATAGTAATCTTTTCCAAAGCCATGACTTTTCTCCAGAAAATAAGCAGAAGACACTGTGGTTTTTCTCAGAAGCTGAAGAAGGCGTGCCACTAATAGCAGTAATTATAATTGCAGGGTCTATATCAGAGGGTCTTAATTTTTTTCTAGTAAGCCTCTTGTTTTGTTATGATACTGTTTGTCCTCAACCTCCTTTCTTTTCTTTTGGAAGCCTATAATGCTTCATGACAACAAACTAACAAGTTACAGGTGTCCTCAAGTTTACAGGTTCCCTTTCATAATGAAACCAGGTCACTTACTGCCAGCAATTCTAACAAAGTTAATCAGGGACAAGCAGGAACTGTCGCCGTTTTCAGCGTTATAGAAAGCTTCAAAGTGATATCTTCCCATTTATTTCAAAGGTCCTTGGCTGAAGTTACATGTGACTAGTTAGGCTTGAATGAGCCACCTACAAGGTTTCTGTGGGCAAAGGGGTAGCCTTCAGCTGTATCTGCAGATTTGAAATTGGAATCCAGTGTCCACTAGGCTGATCTGAATTGAATAAAGAATAAAGCATAGTAAAGCAACAGACATGTGGTGTGGGCTATAATGTAATTGTGTAAAATGAGTCATAGCAGTTACGCTGATGTAAATCCATATGAAGAGGATCCTAGAGAAGACCTGCATATGGAGAACGCAATTTCATATAGTGTTATTCTGTGATGTATTGGTTCAGCGTGGAACAAGTGACTGGTGTGTGACAGAAAAGCATGTCACTACATGTATGTGTTCTGCAATTTTGTGTTATGTTGTAACCTCTGTGGTGTTACGTAATAACCTTTATGCTCTTTTTAATTTTAATTAAGCCTAGAACTCATTTTCCTATAAGTTTAGTAGGTTTTTGCAGTATGAATTTTGAAGGCAAACTGCATGGTTGATGTTTCATGAATTATAATTATTCAGTAACACTTGAATATTTTATTGCATTCAGTTTGCCCATTGGATTGCCTATACTTAATTTTTTCTAAATTGTTCAGGATTCCTGCAGATTTTGAAGGAAAAGTGTAATTACGAATATTTCGCTTGTTTTTGACATCCACCTATGAGTAAAGGCATACTAAGTCATCTTCATGCCCTTTTTGTTTCTGGAGAGGTACGTGGAACTTGGAGTCTTTGCTGGTTCCATGCAAATAATTTGTTCATATGAATCAAATATATTTTACATGTGTAAGTTAAATATAGTAGAAACAGGAATTATAAAGTCCAGAGAACTTTAACTTATTGTTATAGTTATTATAAAAATTAATATAATTTAAGTGTTCAGGTAGCAAAATCAATCAGTACCATATACTGAGATGTTTCATGGTATTTTAAACTGTGTTTTTAATTATCTGCAAGGAGAATTAGGTTGGTGACTTTTTTTGATGCGTTTGGGGTGGGACAACATTGCAAAGGTGACTTTTTTGTTTGTTTGCCTTTTCGACAACAATAAAATCAAGAATTTGGTCATGGAAAAGTTCATTACATTTTTTTTGTATTTTTTTTTCCTTTATCTTTCCTTCTTCTTGTGCAAACTAAGGGAACAGCAGAAAGCCTAAAACAGGGAACAGCAAAAGAAAAAAAAAACAAACAACCAACTAACCAAACTAATCGAAGTTCAAAAGAAAAGATTTTTCTAAGCACAAAGAAAAAAATTGTTTTGGGAAAGAAAAAAGATCATTTAATATATTTTTTGCATAGGGGTTTTGCCAGAGATCTTTGCTGTGAAGGTGTGTTCCATGTTTAGGATTAATAACTGTGTTTGGGAAAAATAGCTAGTTGCTGAAAGTCAGTACATGAAGAGGAAAGTATACTTTTTGGGGTTTTATTTATTGCTGGATAAATTACAATATACATTTTAAGATTAGTTGTGCTGTATGTAATCAATAGCAGCAGTTAACTAACTGAAGCTTTGATCTAGGTAATGGCTTCAATAGAACAAGGGATAGACAGGATCAATGTCCGAGTGAAAGACCATCATGGGAACACAAGAAGTAGGTGCAGGAGGTTGAAGCCCAGGTCCAAGTGATGACTCTTAGATCGTGTCCTTCAGGAACTTTCCTCATGGGCTAAAGCAGCTGCAGATCTGTCTCAGCTCCTACAGGTCCAGCACCTGGCTCGGCAGCAGCAGGTGTTGCCATAGCAAGAACTGCCCTGTTCTTTCCATGAGGTGCTTGAATTTCTTGCAGTCACAGGTAATATGATTCAGATTACTGGATTAATGGTGGTGAACTGCTGAATTGAGTTTATATGCAGTGCAGACTTACCATTATGCAATATATTTGGTCATAGCTTTCTTTAAAAAAAAAAAAACCCAAAACCCAAAACCCCCCCACACAAAACCAAAGAAAAAACCCAAACCGACAAACCCTTCTGTGAGTAAAAATTTCCATTGACAGTCTCCCACTTGGTATTAAAGATAGAGAACATTCCCTTCAGCTGATTTTGAGAAATGAGAAATTGAAACCTGTTGGTTTAAAGGTAATAGTTCATTTTTTAGTGTGTGTGTTTGTATGTTTGTTTTGCTTTACTGTCTACTATGACAAACTGACAAAATTCATCATTACTTAAAATACTGACTTTTCCATGGTGAGTTGTGCCACGTAGAATAACATGAAAAGCTAGAGATATTCCTGAAATAATGTGTAGTCACTGAAATTTTAGAAGGCCCCTATATTGCATAATTTTTTGCAGATCATAATATTCAATTTGTTCTCTTTATTTTTCTGTTACAGTTAACCCGTCTTGGAAATAACTCCATTTCTGATGTTAGGAACAGCAGCAAACTCGCTTGTTCCTTTTGCTCTCTATTCTGATCAGGTGGATGGCCAAAAGCTGATACAAATCATTAA